GAGGGAAGTCTCCTGCCAAGGCAAAACACCTGGAGATGTGTTGCTGCAGCTCTTGCCTCATCACAGCATTTGGACAGCTATTTCTGAGCCTTCTTTTAATTCCAGGCAAGACTTGGAAGTGCTGCCTTCAGCAGGGGGCAGGCAGGAGCAGCAGGGCAGGCAGGAGCAGCAGGGCAGGCAGGAGCAGCAGGGCAGGCAGGAGCAGCAGGGCAGGCAGGAGCAGCAGGGCAGGCAGGAGCAGCAGGGCAGGCAGGAGCAGCAGGGCAGGCAGGAGCAGCAGGGCAGGCAGGAGCAGCAGGGCAGGCAGGAGCAGCAGGGCAGGCAGGAGCAGCAGGGCAGGCAGGAGCAGCAGGGCAGGCAGGAGCAGCAGGGCAGGCAGGAGCAGCAGGGCAGGCAGGAGCAGCAGGGCAGGCAGGAGCAGCAGGGCAGGCAGGAGCAGCAGGGCAGGCAGGAGCAGCAGGGCAGGCAGGAGCAGCAGGGCAGGCAGGAGCAGCAGGGCAGGCAGGAGCAGCAGGGCAGGCAGGAGCAGCAGGGCAGGCAGGAGCAGCAGGGCAGGCAGGAGCAGCAGGGCAGGCAGGGGCAGGCAGGGGCAACCCAGCTTCGTGGGTCTGGGAAGGCAGGACAGCAAGCTGGAGAGCATTAAAGACATTAAGGGACATTTGCCTGTGCCCCAAGATGGGCAGACAGTGGGACCAGCCCTGACCTCAGCCCAGCACAGCCTCAGGCACTTCTTTGCACCCATTCCTGCAACCCCCTCCCCAGCCCCCAGCCCATGCCGGGCTCCTTCCTGCCTGTTCCTGGCTCCTGAGGCAGCCCTGTTTGTTCTGCAGCTCCTGGTGGTGACAACGTCCCCAAGGGGCCTGCAGTGTGGGCAACCTCATTTCACTCATTGCCTTGTTTCCTTCCAGATGAGGAGAACAACCCCCTCACGTGCACCCACCGGGGAGGTGCTGAGGGTCCTGCTGCCCCAGGAGTTCCCTGGGGGATGTTGGGATCCTTCTGTCTTACTTTGGGGTCCTTCTCACCTCACTCTGCAAGCCCAGGAGCTTCTCCAGCTCTCCTACCCACCAGGGCACAGCCTCGGGGCAGTGCTGGCTGCATGGAGGGGCCCTTCAACAGCAGGCTGGAGTGGTTAGAGTTGGAAGGGACCTTAAAGATCATCTAGTTCCAATCCCCTGCATGGGCAGGGACACCTCCCACCAGCCCAGGCTGCTCCAAGCCCCATCCAACCTGCCCTTCAACACTGCCAGGGATGGGGCAGCCACAGCTTCTCTGGGCAACCTGGGCCAGGGTCTCACCACCCACAGCAAATAACTTCTTCCTGAGGTCTCGTCTAAATCTCCCTTCTTTCAGTTTGAAACCATCACCCCTTGTCCTATCACTCCATGGCCTGGTAAAAAGTCCCTTTACAGCTTTCCTGGAGCCCCTTCAGGCACTGCAGTGACACCTGTCACCAGGAAACCCACATCCCTCTCCAGCCAAGAGTTTGTCCCTTCAAGATGCCGATGTTGCTTTGGGTCCCACTTGCCCTGACAACATGCAGGGAGGAGGAAGGAGGCTGGGCTGGGTATAGGAGTCCTGTATCCCCCCCTTGCCAGCATGACCTCAGGTGCACCCCGAGGTGCCACCTGGCCCTGGGAAGGTACTGGGGTGAGAGCAGCACACTTGTTCATTGAAGCTTGTGAGATCTTGGAGCACCCTCGAGCAAAGGGTTGGGGTGGTTCTGCATTAATGTGCCTGCAGCTGGATGGCCATGGGGTGGGATGGCAGCTGGGGCTGCCCAGTGGGCAGCAGGGCTGGCTGGGCTGGGAGCTGGGCTGGGAGCTGGGCTGGGAGCTCCCTGCAGCCCGGTGGGCAGGTGGCTTTGCTACAGGCAGGGGGATGTCCTTGACCTTGGAGCCAGGCAGCTCAGACAGGCAGCGGGCAGGCAGTGAGACCCCTGTGCTGGTCCTGCCGGGTTCTGTGGCTGGAAGCAGCGTGTGGGGCGGCCGGGAGGGAAGAGCATTGCTGTCCCACCCCTGCTGTCCCACCCCTGCTGTCCCACCCATCCCTGGGGGACCAGGTCTGGGATGCGTCTGGGATCAGGTGCTGCCCCCAGCAGGGATGGACACCCAGCCTGGCCAGGGGGCTGGAGAAGGAGCCGTGTCCCCGCAGCTCCAGCCTGCAGAGTTCAGGACCCGGCCGCTCCGCTGTCTCCAGGAGCTGAACTTTCCCCACCAGGCAAACAGCGCGGCGGTGCCAGGTGGAGCAGCCAATGGAAGGGACGGGGTCCCCGGCAACACGCCCGCACCCGGAG